TTTTTATAAATCATCAGAAGTTTTTAGACATACATTGTTCCCAGATCTTCTAATTCACCTCCTCCCCTTTTATAGAAGTAGAAATTGAGGTTTAAGAAGGTTTTGAGATTCAAGTTTGTAGGATTGTTAAAAAACTGTTACTATTTTCTTCTGGTCTATCATTTTCCCAGAATTTGGGATGTCTTATGTCTTTCTGGGTGGTTAATGATGTTAATTGCTAATTGCTCTTTTTAGTGACTTTAAAATGTATGGACCTTGACATTTATGATTATATTTTCTGCAGATATCAGACCCTAAAAATTCAGCATGTAAGTCTGTCCCTGGTTCTTTAGAACTTGTTGCACATCTTTTATATATCCGCAGGAAAAGTTGAGTAGGGCCTGATTCATGTTGATGTTCATTAAACTGCAATGTACCTGACTTTGTTCTAAGCACTGAGGGTGTGTATGTAACTGAACAGGCAGAAATGTTGTCTGATGAGGGTTATATGGAAGGACAAATAATAAATGTAGTATATCATTTTCACCCTTAAGTGTTAGAAGTTAAGGAAAAGACAGTGTTGAGGGAAGGGAAATTAGGAGTGCTGGAGCTTGGTGGAAGTAAAAGTGAGAAGTAACAAAATAGTGTCTGTACTGTGGATGAAATAAGTTCTGAGCAAGCTGGGAGTGGAGGGAATAAGCCTTTCAGAAATGTGCTGGAAGGAGAGTTTGAAGAACAGTGAGACTGGGAGCTGCAGACTGTGTGAGTGTATGGAGAGGGGCCATTGGGTCAAATGACATGAGCGGTTAGGCTGTGCCTTGGTGAGCATTGTAAAATGCCAGATTTTTATTTCCAAGAGAGCTGAGAAGCCATCAATAGATTTCTGAATAGTATGGTATTATGTGTCTCTTCTGTCACATAGAACCCTATTACAACATAGATAATCATTTTTTAATTTTGTATTGTTTTCTTTTGTTTGTGAGTCTCGGTATGTATGCAGCCCCAGCTAGCCAGGAATTCAAAAAGATGCACCTGCCTCTGCCTCCTGAGTGCTGGGATTAAAGGCATGTGCCAGGATGCCCAGTTTAAGACATGTAGCTCTGGCTGACTTGGAACTTGCTATATAGACTCAAAGTCACAGAGATCTACCTGCCTCCCAAGTGCTGTTAAGACAGTTTTTTAAAAGACAAGACCTTTATTAAAGTTTCTTTTCCATGTAACTTATGCATACAGAGTTTTGAATTCTGGATTAGGTAATATTTAATATAACATTTTCCCCTAGCCATTCTAAGGTTAGTAAAACACACAGCCTTTTCTTAGATTGGTGAATGCCCTTGTGCTGGTGGTTTGTGTGTAGTTTAATGACTATATGCAGAAAACTGAACATTTAAAGAGAAAAGAAATTAAGATTTATTGAGAGCATAGTGCATGCTGGTCTTGACAGCTTTTAACTATGTACTCCTGCTTGTGAAGTAGGAGATATTGCTACCTCTTTTCAGCATGTCTGGCAATGTTGACTTGGTAGTTCTCAGTGATTTGAGCAAAGGAAAGAGCTAGTGCACAGCAGAGCAGGGATTACACATTCTGTCACTGGCTCTGTACTTGATTCCTCTGCCAGTTCTTTCTTTCCCCCTAAAAACCCAGCAAGGACCATTCCACTACTGGTGTAGAATCTGATTAGTTTCACTCCAGCTTCTTATATTGAATGCAACCAAGTTATTTCCATGTTAAATATAAAGTGGTCTCTTGTAAACATTAAGTACGCAATTGAAAAACTTAACTTGTTGTATATTAAGAAAAACATTGGCAGTAAAATCACCTGGGTATTTTTTTTTCTTAAGTTGTAAAAGAACAGGACTCATTTTAAGTGACTCTTTGATTCGGGCCTCTTAGTTGGGCCGTACATAAAGAAAATCTCTGAGGAAGCCCCTTCTACACATACCTTTTGTGGTGCTGGGAATCAGCTCGAGATCTTGCACCTGATAGACAAGCCCCCTACCACAGAGCTACATCCCTAGCCCAAAAAAGCCTCTTTTTAAATTACAGTATGTGGAGCTTTGGGGTTTTTTGCCTGTAATCCCAGCAAGCTAGTGGCTGAGGCAAGAGGACCACAAGTGGGAGTTTGAAGCTACCCTGGGCAATGTAATGATTTCAAGGACAGCTTGGGTTATACAGTAAGATCCTGCCTCAAAACAAACAACAACAAAACAATAATATAAATTTCACTATGTGGTGCCCAGACTGTGGTGGTATTTGCCATGGCATTTGATGATGAGTAGTTCCAAATGGGACTCAATTGCTTTGTGGACAGACTCAAGTTATTGAATAGTTAGGTGACTGGTTTACCTCACTGCTTAGAAGTGTGCCTGTTAGCCAAGCAAAAGTAAGGGAAAAGCACCTCTAAAATAATCTTTCATTGCTTTTTGTGAAATTTTAAATATATAATTGATATTTAATCACTGAAGGTGATTAGGCTGCTGGTTGGCATTGTAAAATTTTAAGAGCTTTACTCTTGAATAGTAATTTTATAAAGAATTATATCGAATTAAACTTTTTTACTCCTCACCAACCCTGCTAAGTTCATATACTTAATTTTATTAAATGCTTAAGGGCTTAGTGATGTAGCTCAGTTGGTAGAGTGCTTGCTTGACATGAACAAAGCCCTGGGTTCTGCCCCAGGACCCCACAAACAGACCATGGTAGCGGGAGGATCAGAAGGTTAAGGTCATCCTTAACTAAGAGTTCAAGAGCAGCCTGAGATACATGAGACCCTGAGTCAAAAAGAAAAAATAAGGAAACACTTAAGAGTGTTTATTTATACTTCTGTTAGGGTTTGAGTTGGTAAGGAATCTTAAAATCAAATTTTATTTTTCAAGGATCATTTTGTTCTCTGTATGAAATTATAGTTTAATTGATTGTTGAATGCTAACCATCATAAGTTACCTATGAAACTTAAAAAATATCATTTAATTCTTTGGGTTTTTTTTTTTTAATTTCTACTACTTGTAACTATTATTATTTATTTTTAATTTTAATTTTTAATTTTTTTGTCTTTTTGAAGCAGGGTCTCCCTGTAACCCCAGCTGTCCTGGAATTCATGATGTAGACCAGGCTGGCCTTGAACTCACAGAGATCCGCCTGCCTCTGCCTCCCATGTGCTGGGACCACAGGCGTTCACCACCACGGCTGACTTATTTTTAAAATAATTTTTTAATGTGTATGAGTGTATTGCTTGCATGTATATAAGCATACCCATGCCATGCAGTGCCTGTGGAGGTCAGAAGAGGGCATCAGATTCCCTGGAACTGAACTGGAATTACATTCTGGATAGCCACCACGTGGGTGCTGGGGATCAAACCTAGGTTCTTTGCAAGAGCAGCGGTGCTCTTAACTGCTGAGTCATCGCTCCAGCCCTGGTCTCTAACTCTTAGGCCCAAGTGATCCTCCTGTGTTAGCTTCCAAAGTGGCTAGGGTTATACACCACCACACCCAGCTTAGAGAGTAAAGTTAGCTATTTTAATTGTTTGTTATTATTTAGTTATTGGTCAAGCAATAAGTTTGGGACAATCAATTGAAATATGACCAACAAAAGTAAATTTTTAAGGAAGTTGCTTCTATGCTGTTACCATAGGTAATCAGAAATTAGCAAAAATATCTTTTCAGTAGTCAATTTTTGTTCTAGAATCAAGACATTGCACTTACAGTGGCAGCCATCCTTTGAATAATCTAACAATTCTGATTGACAAGAAGAAAATTCTTTAAATTTCTATGAATGGAACACTTAAAAACCTGTGAGGAAGGGCTGGAGAGATGGCTCAGTGGTTAAGAGCACTGACTGCTCTTGCAGAGGACCCAGGTTCCATTCCCAGCACCCACATGGTGGCTAACACCGATCTGTAACTCCAGTTCCAGGGGATCTGAAGCTTTCTTCTGACCTCCATGGAG